TACTGCTTTGGATGAACATCACCAAAGATTTAAAGACTATGTACACCAAACATTTCATAATTCCTGATATGTGCCTGCTGTGCCATGTACTTGTAGGAAAAAGTATCCTGTTCTCTTTGTATTGCTTCCTTTGTGTGAAATCCCTGGTGTTCCTGTCAGTCCCTCTGCTTTCCTATTAACCTTCCTAGCGGTCTGATTATGTCAATATTTCTGTGCTCAAAGTGGTACATTTTTTGGCATGGAAATATGTTGTTTTTATTATTGTAGGCCTGAAATTTTTAGGAATAACTCACTGAAATCTGTCCGAACAAGAGTCTAGTAAACATCCCGGGTATGATAAAATTTTAAACACAAAATCATAAATTATAATATAATAACTAATAATAAAAAATAATATAATAATAATAAATTGAATTCAATAATGTAATCAAACCAAAAACACTGAAATTTGAAATAGAGCGCCAAGTTCGCACATCACTGAGCTTAGTCACAAAATCGTTTTCAGTGTCTGATGACGAATTTCCCCACAAATCACTATCACTCAATTCTGCAAGTAGTTTTAATTTACTATCGCTGTTCTCTAGCTGGTCTATAACCGCTTTTGACCTAAAGGGATGCTTTTTGGACGCCATGGACATTTCTCAGTTTCCAGGCAGAAAGAACAGTAAAAATGTAGGCAGGGCACAGGACAAAGCACTAGGGACAAAATATATGTGAAATGGTTTGATACAGTAATGTTATACTATGTTATTTTAGTGTATTTAGTGAATGTCACTTTTTAACATTTTTGAATTTTCCTCCAGTTACATCCCGACGCTCGCAGGGAACGGAACCTGGAAGACAGATGCTGGCATTGGCCAGAGGAGATGGCCAGGAACGCTGCAAGGAGGACATCGTGGGAGCGCAGGACACAGTAAATGCTGGAGGGAATCCCTGAGCAATGCTGTAGGGTAATCCCAACTGTAGCTCGGGGTTACCACTTTTGGTACTGAAAGTTAACCCCGAGCTACACTCGGGAATACCGCCAGGGGGGTTAAAAAACGGACTACCCTAGGCATGAGAACTCAGTGTGATCAGTTCTCTAGCTGTGCTGGGAACTCAGTGTGCTGTCCTTCAATGAACAGACTTGTCCTGACACCCCCTGCCCAGCCTTACACAGCTTGTGGGTGATTCAACAGATTTCCTACTGGTTTGGATGAACATCACCGCAGATTTAACAGCAGTGAAATGGTGAGTGTGCACGTGACCAGGGCCGTGGATAAAGGGGTAAAACCAGTCACCTTGTACAGGGCCAAGGCCAGCAGGGGGCCCAGGCAGCTGGATGAATCGAATGTGAGAAGGAAGGGTGATTGGCACAGCAGGGGGGCACTGGAACCAATCCCCTATATGGCTCTCTCTGCAGCAGCTGAAAGCTGGCTTTTTCTCCTCAACCTCCCTCTGGCTTTCAGCTACTGCAGAGAGAGCCATACAGGGGATGAGTTCCAGTAATCGTCCCCCTGTCACACCCATCACCCTTCCTGTGCACCATACGTTTCCCCTTACTGCTTGGGCCACCCGTGTGCCCCCACACCCTGCCATCTTCTCTCCTCTGCTTCTCAATGGCAGCTGCAAGCACACAATAGGATCCTTCAGGATGGAGAATAGGGGAAGCATCTGGTAAATATGTCACATTTACCAATACCTTCCTTTCCTGCATGACTACAATGAGTGATCAGTACTGATCACTCACTGTGTTCAATTATAACTAAAGCATAGTAAACTGTTTTCTTTCGGGGGTGGGGGTTGTCAAGTTGGCTGTATGGGGCCCCGTGGTTTCTAACAGCAGCCCTGCATAGGCTACAGTATATGTGTATCAATTTTAATAAAAAGTATGGTTTACTATGTAATGTTTTCTCCAGGATCCAAATGTTTGCTGGCAAAGCCATTGCATACCAAAAACATGTTAAATGTACATACCATGTAGGAAAAAATCAAATCGAGGATGCACGGTTTTATTAAAGGAATTTACAAAAAAAAACCCACATATTTGTGAAAAAGCTACAGTGAATCATACAAAGAGGTATATTGTTCATGTTCAAAAAGAAGGCCCAATATTTCATATGCTTGTATTTGGAACAGAATGCTGCCTTTTTTTCCTATGACAGCATAGCGTGCAAGGATTTTTTCACAGGTAGTTTTGAATGTTATTGTTCAGTAAGCCAATCACATTAATGTTGCTTTCGTTAGAAAAATGTTGACAGGACCATTCTTAAGTGTACCTTATCAGAACAGGAAAACTAGGAAAGATAATACACATTAAATAACAATGTATGTACCATCAATTATAGTTGTAGGTTCATGGATTACCATCTCTATGTGCACAGATATGAGGCCCACAATGCAAGAGTAACATAATAATTCATACTTGCTTTTGTTTATTTGCTTTAGAAAATCAGGGCCAGTATTTTTCTCCTATTTCCATTTTGGCTATTAGAAAATCCGTTTTAACATCAAAAGTTCCTAATAATGTTGTCCTATTCTGCACTATTCCCATGTCCCATCTATTTCTTGTTTAATTGTCAGAAATATGAAAGCAGATAGATCAAAAGATGTGTTTGCAAATAGCCTTAAGCTGGTAAGAAACGGAAAGGGAGATGTTTTTCATGAAAGCACTGATATCATCCGTGATCCTTACCCAATGCTGATACTGATGCATGTGCTATACTTTTTATCCTTAACTCTTCTCCCAAAAAGGATGAGAAGTATCTGAGCCCCTTTATAGGGAAATGCATAGCTCCCAACTGTCCCTGATTTCAAGGGACTGTCCCTCATTTGGAACAAAGTCCTTCTGTCCATCCTTCCTCCTCATTTGTCCCTCCTTTTGGTCTGATCTATATAGCGATATATAAAATGCATCATTTATCTATCAAAAAGTGTTTATCAGTGTTAAACCTTTCATCCAATTTCTAAATCGCTGCATTTGTAAATTTCAAAAGCCAATGTACTGTTACCCTAGGTCAGGGGTGGGCAAACTTTTTGACTTGAGGGCCGCAATGGGTTCATATATTGGACCCGGGGGCTGGACCAAGAGTAGATGAATGATGTGTATGTGTCATCCATAGTAAGTATAGTAATATTCCCCCATAGTAAGCATAGTAATTAATCCCCCATATAGTAATTCATCCCCCATAGTAATTCATCCCCCATAGTAATTCATCCCCCATATAGTAATTCATCCCCCATAGTAATTAATCCCCCATATAGTAATTCATCCCCCATAGTAATTCATCCCCCATAGTAATTAATCCCCCATATAGTAATTCATCCCCCATAGTAATTCACCCCCCATAGTAATTAATCCCCCATATAGTAATTAATCCCCCATATAGTAATTAATCCCCCATATAGTAATTCATCCCCCATAGTAATTCATCCCCCATATAGTAATTCATCCCCCATAGTAATTCATCCCCCATAGTAATTCATCCCCCATAGTAATTAATCCCCCATAGTAATTCATCCCCCATAGTAATTCATCCCCCATATAGTAATTCATCCCCCCTATAGTAATTCATCCCCCCTATAGTAATTCATCCCCCCTATAGTAATTCATTCCCCATATTAATTCATCCCTCATATAGTATTTCATCCCCCATAGTACTATTCCCCCCCAAGTAGTAAGCCAAGTCCCCCCCGTGTCAATTCACTTACCTTTGCTCCGCGCGTTCCTCTCGCCGTGTTCCCGCGCCGTTCCGATCTTTAGGGCGGACTGTGAGAGGAGCCTAGCTCCTCTCACGTTCGTCACGCTGCCCCGCCTACACACATCTTGACAGCCATCCTGACAGTATCACGCTCCACGGGCCAGATTAAAAGGTCCGCCGGGCCATAGTTTGCCCATTGCTGCCCTAGGTTCACACCTAAGCGTTTTCTGCAGCACTTTGAAGAAACGCAGGACAGATTACAGTCCATTTAACATGATTTCATATGGGACAGGTTCATATCTATGCGTTTTCACCCGGTGCGTTTTTTGGAAAGGGTCAGGGACTTTTTTCAACGCAAAACGTTGCGTTTTTGGTTCTATGGACTTCAATGGGAACACTGCAGAAAAACATGTATTGTGTTTTTGGTGCATTTTGCATTTAAAATCTGCCTAGCAACAAGAATATTTTTTAAAAATGAAATAAATGCAAATAACGGCAAAAACGCAAAACGCAATGCAGAAATGCACCAAACTCAACCTATAAACTATTTTATACTTCTCTGTTAAGGGGGGGCCTGGCAGGATGTGTGTCCTATGCTTACGTATTTTTGCTGATAGGTGTCTCTCATTCCCATCTCAGCAAGTTGGGAGGTATGGCAATGTTCCAAAATGTGGTAAAAAATCTCCCTAAGCAATACTGAAATCCTCTGATTTTCAAAAGCTCTTAGTACCCTTTACATTATAACATCCCAATGCTTGAAATTGGAGGTACTGCTATATCTAGCTGGGTGCTCTAATTCTGAATTGTGAAAAATGAAGCGTCAGGTTTGTTGACATATTTGTTCTTAATCATTTAAATAATATTAACAAATGCGATTCAAACTGCCACAGATAAATTTAGTACAAAAAACCTAGCAATTTAGCATTATTCCAGTAATGAATTTTTCCTTTTTTTCAAAATACTTTGGTGTTTTTTTTATAAATATTATCACACCAGATTCATACAGCTTTCACCCAGAATTCAAACATTTTCCAATCAAATCCGATTAGAAAAAGGTGTGACTCTTGAGTGAAAACTGTATGGTCCTTGTGCGGAGACATTTACAAATAGACCCCTATGTTTAAAGGCCATTTCCAAGAACAAGCCCCAAATATGACCCATATATTCACCATGCCCCTTACCTATAAAGCTATTCTTATATTCTATTGTATCGTATCCTCTTATTGATCAGTACCATCATTTTAGCGACTCTAACTGCCAGCCAACCACCTGATGGCTTTTTATGTCTGCTTGCAAACTTTCCAGATATGAGATACTTACCATCTAGCAAATCTCTAATTTTATCCAGGTAGATCTCAAAATAAGAAACCTGGAAAAACAAGACAATAAAAAAACATGAATTACTTGGTCTCAGAATCTGGCGCAAAAAACTGCCAATTAAAACTTTTTAAATTGCATACCCTTAAAGACTTGAAATCAAGGCAACCAATGAAATAAAGGCAGTATTCGGCAAGCTACTAATGCTAAACAGAAATACAACAGTTTATCAGACTCTACTACCTTGAGAAGGTGTGCCATGAGGTGTGAAATCTGTGAGTTTATTAGACTTACACCAATAAAAGGACCAGCATAGTGAACACTAGGTGGCAACCCCACTGTGTATGGACTAAACACTGCAATTGTGCTAAAATCAGCCAGTTCACTTAATTTTCCTTCTGATTTCTTTGTAATCCATCAAACTGTGCAATGTGTAGGTTTACATGAGTGTCTGGTTGTTCACCCATGATACAATCTGATTGTACATTCTTTAAAGTTTAGATGATTTGATGACCTACATGACCTACCCTCAGATCAGTAGACGTTTATTCTACTTTTGATTTAAAATCAATCACAATAATATCAGTGTCAATCAGTGTGTGGCAGTCCCTGCTCGACAGACAGATATCATTTGATCAACTTCTGTCAAAGAGACAGGTTGGAAAATTATGCGCAATCAGCGGTCCTCTCCACTCTTGAGTAAATAAAGAAAATTAAGCCTGCTTGTCGCCCCTGATGAGTTTGTATGTTGTTGGGTGAAGCTACAGGGTGGCTGACCATTAGGAAGACAGAAGAGCCCATTAAAGACCAGCAGCTCCTTTAGGGGTTAGTACTAAATGTAAATAAGCTTATGTAAGATAATTGTATTTCTACTGATGACGAAGAAAATGTGTGATCAAACTATACAGCAAAAATCCACCTCTTTGCTCTGCTGGCCCTTGGTGGAAGAAAGTGCTTAAAAAAATAATATGCAAACTCATAATGCGAACTGGCACCTTACCTTGATATGGAATTCTAGGTTTTCGTCCATGGAGTAGATGTGATTGAATATATCTCTGGCAATTCTTGGTATTATTCCCATCAGCTGCGGATCATGAAGCTTACCCTGAGAAAAAATTATAATAACTGCAGGTTTGAAAGGACACTTAATGTACTTATCAAACATTTTATGGTAATGTAAAACATATGCAGCTATGTCACAAAGCATCACTTACCCTGGAAAAATAGGCAACAAGTGTCTTCATGCTGCCTCCGAATCCATACACAGTAGAGGGCCTATGCACCACAAACCCAGGCTGCTCTTTAATGCACAGCTTTCATGGTAGTTACACAAGTCTCCTCACATGTGCTAATACTGGCCCGCCACTGTACAGGGGGGAATGGGATGGGGACAGAGCTAGATACCATGAACACAGGTAAAGCATAAACGAATGGCCCAGGTTTGGATGCCTAGGAACTGCAAAGAGGAAAGGAGTCTACATGACGTGTTGGTTGGAGGTGCTTGCTATCCAAGGTAGATAAAGGTTTTAATGCTTTTACCCTATTGGTTGGCTTTAAAGCAATTGTGGATTTAGAATTGTACATTTCTATATGCACATTACTGTATTACTCTTACTATATTATTTATTCAGAACTTCAAATCCTTCAGTTTTTTTCTATTTGTATTCTAGTGCTATCTTCCCTGATTAACAACGATCCACTGAGGATTTATTTATTTCAGGTACTTATATAGCGCCATCAATTTACGCAGCGCTTTACATATATATTGTACATTCACATCAGTCCCTAACCCTCAAGGGGTGTACAATCTAAGGTCCCTAACTCACATTCATACATACACATACTAGGGACAATTTAGAGAGAAGCCAATTAACCTACCAGCATGTCTTTGGAATCTGGGAGGAAACCGGAGTACCCAGAGGAAACCCATGCAGGCACAGGGAGAACATGCCAACTCCAGGCAGGTGGTGCCGTGGTTGGGATTCAAAGCAATTGCCCCGTAGTCTTATCATATTTTACACATTCATTTAAAAAAAAAAAAAACCTTCTAAACAAGCAGTGTCTTGCTTTATGCCTTTTAATTCACTTTCTACTTTAATGATTGATCAGAGAATAATATTTAATAATTTATAACTGAAACTAATTATACTTCTTCAGCATGGTCATATAGTCAGTCTGGCTCCCTTTACCTCAAGCTTTGATCCCTGCTGTACAAGAGGAGAATCAAACCTCCACTTAGACTTCTAGTGCACTTTGTGGCACTAATGTGGCCTGAATTTATGGCCACTCTGCTAACTGCCATCCCCTTCTCCAATGAGACTGCTGTATATAGCATCTGAGGAACATTAGACAATTGAATGTCAGTTGAGAAGGCTTAGCCATGAAGTCTTGGAAAGTCATTCCCCAATAACAAAATGATAATCAATCAGTGGGGAGCAAAGAAAAGGCTTTTCTTGCTATTACAGGCAATAGAATGCATCTTGTACTGCTGCACTTAGATGAGAGGTTTACTTAAACAAAATTAAAATGGACTGCAGGTCACTTTAACAGGTCAGTGTGTCAAGATTGAGAACTTGGATATAGAAGTCCTTAAAGCGGAGTTCCAGCTGAAAAAAAAAACTCAGTAGCTACAAAAACTGTAGCCACTTACCTGGCCCCTGGTCCAGCGGTGTCCTCACCACCACTGATTTCACCAGTCATCTTCTCTCCCTGGCGCCGGCATCTTTAGTGTGGGTACCCGGCTGGGACAGCTTGCGGCTTCAAAGCCAGGTGCCCACTGCGCATGTGTGAGAAGCTCTGCGCTTTGTGAATGGCCCCGTAGTCTTCTGGGACCTGTCACATATCCCAGAAGACTACGAGGAGGGAGGACAACTTCCGCTTCCGATCGCCTAGGCGATCGCAGCAGAAGTGGGAGTGGGTACCTGTCAATTTCGGGTACCCGCTCCCCAAAGATGCCAATCCTTAATGGGGAGCGGGGGACAAAGCATTAAAGCAGAACTTCCCCTTTTGGGTGGAACTCTGCTTTAAGGATAAAATTCCATGTGATAATCAAAGGTGTCAGCAGTACTACCTGCAGGTGAAGTGTGGTACTTTTTGTATTGCCCTCTGACAATTTGCATAGAAGATAATAAAAATCCAAATTTTAGTTTAACCTTGATAACCATTTCAATAAACTCTGAAATCTTATATTTCCTCTCAATACTTTGTATACATCCTATATTTACCTCCATGGTGTGGGTCTTCCCAGAGGCGGTCTGCCCGTAAGCAAAGATGGTTCCATTATAACCAGCCAGCACATCTGCAAGGAAGAAGGAGGCAGATCACTTAAGTGTATCCCTTTCATAAGCACAAATAGAGAAATGTTTACTTTGAGCAATTTTTATGCAGACAGTATGCAGCAGACCTTTTTTTATGTTTAGGATGTAAAAAAAAATAGAATTAAGAAATATTTGCATCTTTATAGAAGTAGCAAATTAATATTATCTGGATAATACTATACAGATAAAAACATTTTTTATCTCTATTCTGTAGAGTAATTAGCCCCAGATCTGCATTTTTTGCCCCCTTGCCCCAGAGCACCCCCCTATGTTAAGGGCATGTGGTTTAGTAAGGTTCAGGAGAGGAGGGGCGCTCGCTTGTTTCCCCCTTTCCTGACCTGACAGCCTGCATGCTCGGAAAAGGGTCTGGTATGGATATTCAGGGGGACCTCCACGCCATTGGTGGTTCCCCTCAAAATCCATACCAGACCTGAAGTGCTTGGTATGGATGGAAGGGGAAACCCCACGCCATTTTTTAAATTTTTTTTTAATTGCCGGTAATTCTCTCTTTTACATTCAGCTGTCAGTGGGGAACCCCACTGACAGCTGAAACATTAACGCATGGTTTTCATTTCTAAAATGTCGCATGATTTGATAAAATAACTCATGCAGTATTTTAGTAGCATTTTTTAGTGAATTCAAACTTTTTTGTTAAAAGCTGTGCGGTATCTTACCGCATACTCAGATGCGGTAAGATACCGCTTAGTGAATTGTGCCCAATATTCCCTTCCAGTTTAGTCTTGGAGAGCAGCCCTCAACCTTGGCTTTCTTAAAATTAAGTGTTTTTATCTTTCCAGTATGTGCTTGTTGCTTACTGCTATAAATGAAATCATGAAATCATGTTATGGTCACCGCTACCCAGATGTTCTTTTATATGAACATTAGTAATAAACTCTGCATGGTTTGAGATTACCATGGCCAGCAGAGCATCATTTTTAATTGGGGCTTCTTTGAATTGTACCATTAAATTGTCTTGTGATAAATTTAACCCCTGTAACTGTTCCAGCAGCACCATTACTCCAATCAGTTTCAGAGTAGTTAAAATCCTTCAGTATCATCACTGTCCCAGCTCTTTTTATCTGTGCAAGGAGCTGAGTCTCCACCTCCTCATTAACACTGGGTGGCCTATATCAAACTCCAATAATAGCTTTGAAGCATGCACACCCATATGCAGTTCCACCAATAATGCTACCGCACCATGACACTCTCCATCAAAAAGGTCCTCTTTCACACTCAATTTGAGAGCACTTACCACATAGAGAAAGACACCACCACCTTCTACCCTGTCTCTCAGAAAGAGAGCATAGCCAGGGATATTATCAGCCCAATCTTGTGAAGAATGAAGCCAAGATTTGGCAATTAAATCATAGTTCTCTTTATGCACCAAAGCTTACGTCTCACCTATTTTTCTAGGCAGACTTTGTCATTGGTGAACAAACACATTAATTTATTGTTGCATATTGCACTTGTGTTTTGCATATTTTATGCTAAAGTCCAACCCTGTGCTGCTGCATATATGTGTTGGGCAATCGTAAAGGGGTTAAACATGAAAATAACTTCCTTTCCTCTGACTCCTTCCCACCTTCCTTTAACACAACTGAAATAACAATCTGTTTAACCAAGTCTAAAGGATTTGGCAGAGCCTTGTGGCATGTCCATATATATGCACAAAATCATGCAAATACACTTATACAAGAAGAGAAGCGTGGCGTACCTAGCATGTGCGGGAGGTTCCTGGAATTTTGCACATGCATGGTCATGCTGTAAGGCTCTGCCAAGTCCTATAGATCTGACAGAGACCTGCACTGTGTTTGCACATGTGTGAGTTATATCTCCAAGATTACAGTGTCATTGCGGAGAAAGGAAGATCTTTGGGCTGAAAGGTGGGCAACCTTGGACTCCATGGACTAGAAGGTATGTTGTTTTTTTTTTTACATACAGGAACAATGTAAGGGACCAGAAATAAAATTTTAGGTAGCTTGGGTGAAGGTCGTCTTTAGTTTAGTCTTATAAATAATTACATAAATTACTTAATGAGGATGAAACAATTACCTTTAACAATTTGCATGGCACAGGCATGGTAGACTTGCTCCTGAGTCGTATTTGGAGGAAACACTCGGTCAAAAGCATATGGTTTTCCCTAGGACAGATAACATAAAACACAAATATAAGGTAAAAAAATTTAACAAAATTAAATTGTATCAGTATAGCAACAGCCAAAATAAATTGTTGTTTGTCTTTCAAAAACGACTGAAATGTAAGATTTTTGATCAAAGTTATACTACTTATGCAATTTTTTAAACTGCTTCATATAATCATATTATAAAATAATGTTGTGATATATAAGTGAGCAGTAATGAATATGTTTTAAAAATTACATTAATCCATATCTACAACCACTAGATAATTCAAGATTAGGAACCCTCAGTTCTTTTGCAGATTTTATGCAAACTATGAATACAAGTATAAAAGCATATAGATAGTTGGATCATGTTCTTAATGTCCATAACCTTCACTATTCAACCAAATTCTGACCATCTATAAAATCACATTATGCAGGCACTATCAAGTCACTAAATCTACAAATGTGCCAGTAACAGTTATACCGTACACAGTTTCAAAGACACATTTATACTGCACTGGTAGATTAGAATAAAACAGGTGCCCAGTCAGTATTCATTAAAAGTGTGGGGCCACTGAAATCAATTTTGATCACTGAAACATAACTAGCTCCATTTTACTATTTATGGTAACTCAGGAACTAGTTGGTCTTTGAACATCATATTATCTGTTTAAAACATATAATATATTAGACAGATATGCAATGATGACATATATTACTACAGACAAGAATTCTTATTAGTAAACATTTAAAGCCAAACTCCACTGAAGTGTTACTGCCCTTGTCATGTCGACGTGTTGTCATTGCAGATTTGAGCTTCCTGTACTGGTGAATCCCATTTCCTTTTTTTGTGGCATCAAAGACTTAAAAAAGGGACTGTCTCCCCTGTAAAGTCACGGAAAGTAATAAAAACTGATACAAGTTCAAGCCTTCCTCTTCTAGTTCAAAACTAAGAGGGAACATTTTTAACTGGATGTGAGCTAACCAACTGTAATAGTGGATCACTTGGTTAATTAAATGGACCAGCACACACCTCTTCCCAGCCAAATCAACCCACAGAGCCAATGCAGACTGTCAATGGAGAATGATAATATATTGTATGTATTACCGCTCTGTTATATAAGCTACTTATAGCTGCATTGATACGCACTAATATGCATTTTGTAAATTAAGTTATATGTAACGTGCATTAAAACCCATTATTCTATTACCATATAACATGATTTTCCAAAGATAACAGTATTTAAAGTGAAAAAACCTGTGCAACATGCTTTATAAACTGACTTTTACAGACTAAATCCCTAAAAATGTAATATCATATAGCATGTGCGGTAAATGATGATTACATGTGTACAGTATACTAAGCTGTTGCCCAAAGTTCAGCAAGAGTCCTCTACATGGAAAGCCCATCCATACTAATACTATTTTGTCAGGGCTTATGTACTATCTGTGACCCCAAAGAAGATATTTCTATTTTCTGTCACCTTGCTAGAAAATTAAATCTGCCTTTTGGGGACATGGGTAGCCATAAAACCCAAAAGAAGTTCATTCTACTAGAAATATGCTTTTATTACTGCCTGTGTTCCTGTTAGCCGAATTTACCCTTACGTACTTTTATTTACTTACCCTCACCTGTTCTGTTTGATACTTTTAAGGGAGAGCAAGGCAACAGAGAACTATAACATTTTGACCAAGCTTTCATCCTTTCCCCTATAAAAAATAGCTTCATCTCTAACACAATTATTTGATTTTACGCTGTATCAGTATTTCTTGTTTTAAAAAATCCTTCTTATATGCAAAATAAAAAATGGCTCTTTTTAGTAGGACTGGCTGAAATGAATGCCTCGTGCTGCGTAATGTACTAATGGAAAAATCAATACCATAATTTTAAAATGCTTTCTCTTACAGCTAAAGGTAGCCACTGCAATGACTATTGGAGAATAGTAATGGAATGTTCTGATCCATGGAATTAATCTGAATGCCAATTTACAGAATCAAGAAGGGCTATAAGGTAACACTTGGTCTTAATTTTAATAGGGGGGGCTACTATTTTCTAAACCAGGGATGCATTTCCTATTTAACATTCCATTTATATAATTGTTCTTGTCTGAAGGACAAGTTCAAGATTACCATATCCATTACTACAATATAGGTTCAAAGATGTGTCTAATTGAGGGGCGGACTGACCATTTGGAAACTCGGGCACTGCCCGAGGGCCCGGGGTCAGTAGGGGGCCCCATGAGATGCCCCTGGTACCTTTTTCATAGGCTTTTTTGAGTTTGGGCAAGGACACAGGGACCCCATGATCCCCTATTGCCCGGGGGCCCCATGAGTTGTCAGTCTGCCCCTGGTCTAATTACTAGTTTGAATGAATACTCACAGTAAAAGGCTACAGGATCTCGAATGATTCCAAAATGTAGGAAATGTTCCTAAATATTGTGCATATAGATTTGTTCTGGTGGTCTTGGTTCTTTGTGTGCCATATACACTGGTCTTAGTTCTAGCTACATACAAAAGAAAGCTCTATTTGTGTGAAAAAAAAATGAAATACATTTAATTTGCATGCATTACTGCATAACCACACAGTTGGTAGTTCAAGTAGACCAGTGCTGAATAGCAAAAATATGACCTGGTCATGAAGGGGGTAATACATTCCGGAGCAGAAGTGGTAAACTATAATTGTTTGGAGCTACGTTTCTTTAACTTTTTCAAGTAATATGTTTTCCTTAATTGTTTAGTTTTTTTCAGCTTCACTATACTCAGTGGAACAATGATCTGTTGTTTTTTTTTTTGGTCTGATCAGTATTTCCTAGGCTTGGTGATTGATTGCTCATGACTGGATGCAGCTTCCAGAAAATAGAGCAAGGAGGGTCAATTACTCAGTTATTAATATTTATCAAACCTCAGCCAATCCCTGGGAGTGGGCACTCAGAAGGTGGCTGAGAGGGATGAAAAATATTTGGGAGGTCTTTCTAATTCTCCTGGGGCTGCTGCCCTTGGGAGGAAGCTAGTATGAGAAAAGAGTTGCAGTTTTGGGCCTCAACAGGTGATGGGCTGAAGGTCTGGAGAAGATTGCTGAAGGATTTCTTGCTGGAGGGTACAGTCCTGGAGTTCTATCTGGAGAAGGTTTTTTTTCTTATCTCCCTCACTGAAGGGTGTCACATTGAAGCTGAGTATCAGTCAGCTCCCAGTACATTGTAAGACCTGGTTTTAGGACAGTGCATTAAGGTAAAAAACCTTCTGCATACAGCTCCTCCCTCAACCCCCCTTATACTTACCTGAGCCCAAACTCAATGCAGCTATGTTCATTAGAGCAGCGGCTCTCTTGGGTCTCTCCCTCCTCATTGGCTCAGAGACAGCAGCAAGAGCATGTACAAGTGCTCCCATAGCAAGGGGCTTGATATTAGGCACTCAACAGGGAGAGGAGCCAGGAGCGCCAGCAGGGTACCTGAGAACAAGAGGATCGGGGCTGCTCTGTACAAACCTCTCTGTATTTGCACTAACACAGCTACAATCACCTTAAAATGATTGTAAATGCTAATTTTAATTAAAATAAAAAATGGTTATTGCACACAGCAGGCAAAGATAACATGTTTATTATTTTAATAAAAAAAATAGTTTTTACAATCACTTTAAGGTTATGCAAATTGCAACAACACAGTTGAGTAATACTTTTTTTCCTGAAAATGTAACTTTGTGCCAGTAAAAAAGTATCATGGACAGTACTCAGTTCAGACACTGGAATACTACTAAAGTGTGAAATAGTTAGCAAAAAATTACAGTTAAGTCTGATTGATTGGATAGTTTTTCTTTTTCATATACTCCTCTATTATTAGGGTATTATCTTTTTATAGGGTCAGTTCATTCTAACTACATATAGAGAGATTGATATTGCCAAAGGAGCCTGCAAACTTTAATGGAATACAAAAAAAAACACTTTAAATTAGCAAGATATATCTATTACTAGAGGGTCTATTAACAGCGTAATGAAGTAAGATGTAAAGTGTGGGAAGGTAGTCTGTATGATCACAGGTCAGCAAGAAACAGAAATGCAAACAACTCAGAAGACCATAATATAGATTATCTCTAGCTAAACCCATATACTTTACCAAAAGCTAAAAAGACATTACTCCACCAGCTAATATTCACTAAATTATTCATCTATCCTTCTGGCTTAACACACAATTACAGCCAACAGTTCAGTCCTGGATGCTCCAGGCCATCATGAATCAAGGTGCCATAAAGCAACACTTTCCAAAATAACTTGAGATAATCTGCAGAACCCTGACTTTGCTCCAGAGTTTATTGTAATGTTTGGTGTGTTTAAAATTGATTTGCAGTCAAGTAGAAAATGTTATGTAATGGAGCTATACTAACATTTTTTCTGAAATTGTAATTCCCCTCTTGAGGAATGTTTTCATTATTTTTTCACACATCTGCATTTTTGGCTATAAAATTACTTTAAAACCCCTAGACCACAATATATTTTCTGAAATGAATGGCCTTGTAAAGTAAAAATATTGTTACAATTTTTTTATGTCACACAATATTTGCTCAACTGTTTATCAAATGCATATTTTCAGGAAAACATTCAATTCCAATGAACTTTAGTACAAACAAACACAATAAAATACAAAATGTTTGCCAAATTATCAAGGGCTTGCGTCGAGTATATAGATGCCAAACATGTCAAGTCTTAAAATTGTATATGCCCCTGATATCATGGAAAATGGTGGTACCTAAAATTCTCCACAAGCACCGCTTTGAATCTCAATATCTGTATAGAGCTCACCATGAATTATGGTCCTAGAATTACTATGATACCTCACATGTGTGGTGCAATTGCAGTCTGTGTGAGTGTTTTCATTTGTGGATATGTGTAGGGTGACAGGGTTCCGTTTAATTTTTTTTAAATGAAATTTTACTATAATTTTATGGGGGTTTTTTTTTTAATTTATTTTTATTGCTTTCACAAGCCCCCTATGTGATAGCATTCGGCATGTGACTCTTTATGGAGACATCAGGGGTCTGGATCACTTTTACATGACAGCCAGCTGAAAAACAAACAGTACCAAGCTCATGGCTGCTACTACAGTCATGAGCTTGTTTTAAACCCTTCACTCTCTGACCTACTTAGCATATCCAAAGAAGTGAAGTAGTTAAAGTGACATTAAATGATATCCCTATTAATATATATATATAATATATATATATATAACTTTTTTTTTTTCTTGGTTGAACTGGATGGACTTTTGTCTTTTTTCAGTCAGACTAACTATGTAACTATGTATTCTCTAAACCAGGGGTACTGAATTCAATTTCGTTCCAGTTGGTAACATTTTCTTTCTGCAGAGGTCCAAATCTCATTTTTCTTCTTTGACCCAGGTCCTTCACATCACAGCCCCCTTTACCTTGGTGTGCTCAGTCCCCCCTTTCCCATCACGGCCCCTCTTAAATCACAGTCACCCTTCACATTAGTGTCCTCATTCCCCCCTTTCCCATGACATCCCCCCTTACATCACAACCCCCTTTCACATCAGAGCCCCCCAACATTACAGCCCCTGCCCACATCACATTCCCTCCTTACATCACAGTCCCCCTTGCAATTACAACCCCCCACATCACAGCCCCCCCCCCCCACTGACATCACAGCCCCTTCAATCACAGCCACCCCTCACAACACAACCCGTCCATCTCCCATCACAGCCTGCTCATCTCACAGCTCCCTTTCTCACATCACACCCCCCCTTATCACAGCTGTCCATATCACAGCTCCCTCTTCTCACATCACAGCCCCCCCCCCCATATCACATCACAGCCGTCCATATCACAGCTCCAACTCTCACATCACAGCTCCCCCCATATCACATCACAGCCCCCTAATATCACATCACAAACCACAACTCCCCCTCTCACATCACAGCCCCCACATATCAGCCCTCCATATCACAGCTCCCACTTTCACATCACAGCCCCCCATATAACATCACAGCCCCCCATATCACAGTTCCCCCTTCTCACATCACAGCCCCCCAGTATTACAGCTTCCCCTTTTCATATCACGGCTCCCCTCTCTCACAGCCCACCCTATTTTACATCTCTCCCTTAACAATAATATCTTAACTCTGGCAGGAGGAATGGCAGGGTGGACTTCTTTTCAGAATATACTTGCCTGCCACCGCTGCTGAACTCACTGCAGGGAAGAGGGTGGAAGGCAAGGAAGGTCTGCACTTGTTAATATGAAAGGTTGGGCAGTTCTCACTCCCCCTGTAGATCTGCAGTATCTCCCACCTCCTTCCCTGCTGTGGGTTCAGCGGCAGCTGGTGAGTACATTCAGAGTCCAATCCTGCCATTCCTCCCGCCCTCTACAGCGCTGTGATTTTTTTATTACCTGCAGCGGCAGGAGAAGAGGACTCCACTCAGGCTACTAAGTGGTGCAGCTGCAGTTCAGACAGGACTGTCACTCGGTCTGTGTCTGGAGCGAGGTCTGCCATTTAGTGATGCCTGCTCTAAACAATAATCCATACCCATCTACTACTTAATGGCCCTGTAATCTATTTTTCATTAAATAATTTCTTACTCTGTTTTTCTGCCTCCTTGTAACCTTCTCCTCCTCGAGCTCCTGAGCCTCTCCTTTTCGCTCTTAGTGGTTTGTTTTTTTTTCGGAATAAGCAGTATGCGTTAGTTGTGGTCATGTGCACTGTTCTATGCAGACTACAAATAGTTACATAGTCCCTTGCTCATTTTGGGAGCCGGCAAGAGATGATGGCTACTTTCCTGCCTACAGTGGGACCATGCAGAAGGCACAGAGCTACCCTCTATCAGGAAATTGTATCACAGCAGCAAAAAAAAGAATTTTGAAATATGGAGGAATAAAAGGTACTTTTTTGAGTTAAAAATACATGCATACACATGCCTTACACAACATCCCCCTACTACCCTGCTGTCAATAGTCGAGACTGCAGATGATCTCAGATATGTAGGTTCCTAGAACCATTTTCAGAATTGTGCAAAGCTTGAAGAAGTGATCTAATGCAGTCCACAAGCTTGCATCTTTAATAGCTTAGGGTAGCCATTAAAGGGTATCACTTAAACTCCAAACTTACTTCAAATAGAAAGCCTTGGAATTCCATAGCTGCCAACTGCCTCTCATTTGGTAGGGTAGTCCCTTTTGTGGAAACAAATCCCTCTCTGCTCTTTAGTTGTTGCTCCTTTTGGTCTGATAAATAGGCCTTTATAAAAAATATATATATTTAATATCAAAGGTGTTTGCTACAACACCAAGTGAGTGAAAAAAAAAACAAAAAAAAACATTTGCAGGTTTAATATGGGGCTGCATCAGCCATCACCACATCATGCACATGATTTTTAGTTTATTTAATGCTACAGAAGACTGAAGAAATACTAGAGGAAATGATGATCAGAGACTGAGCACATGCAGAGAGTGACTAGAGACATTTTACATGAGACTAGTAGAGTTCATCCCTTTACAAATGAATCATTCCTATTCTGCTGTAGACTGCTGGGGTTCAAAAGACACACAAGAGCAGTAAGTTGGGCATCAAGGGTTTAAAGAAACATCTTTAGGTGTTAATTGTGTGTATGTATATGTATAGTGTATGTATATGTATATATATATATATATATATATATATATATATATACTGTATATATATACACACACACAAGGGGTGTTCAAGCCAAACCGGGACTTTTAAATTTACAGGTATAAAAAGGGATGCTAGCATGGGGGCCCTCCACGTAATAAGAGGCAAGTGTGTCCTATTACTGATAGGTGGCACACATGTTGCGAGCCAGTCCAGAGACCAATAATTAAGATGGCAGACAACAATGTTAGTGCGTGCATGGAACGACGTGTGGTGATGACAAGAGTGACGGTGAACGAAGGTGTAAAACCCGTGGATATCTACAGAAAACTTCAAGCACAGAATGCCTGATCCTGAATAATCTACGCATACCCTGATGTGAAATTGCACAAGACATAACTCTTTCTGTGGGTACGGTGAACACAATGATGATGAAGCGAAGCAGTCTGTCCTAGGATGGTTCAGGTGTGCTGAGAAATCTTTCTGTGCTGAAGCTTTCCAAGCATTAGTTAAATGCTGGGTTAAGTGTATAAGTGTAGCAGGGGGGTTTGTTGAAAAATAAATTCAGTTTCCACTCCTTGAAATTTGTTCTTCTATTATAAAAACTCAAAAGTCCTGGTTTGACTTGAACGCCCCTCGCATATATATATATATATATATATATATATATGCACATGAAATTTAATGGAATCCCAGTCTTAGTCCGTAGGGCTCAATGCTGAGTTGGCCCACCCTTTGCAGCTTTAACAGCGTCAACTCTTCTGGGAAGGCTGTTCACAAGGTTTAGGAGTGTGTCTAATGTTTGACCAATGTTTGACCATTCTTCCAGAAGCACATTTGTGAGGTCAGGCACTGATGTGAGGCAAGAAGGCCTGGCTTGCAGTTTCTGCTCAGATTCATCCCAATGGTGTTCTGTCGGGTTGCAGTCAGGACTCTGTGTAGGCCAGTCAAGTTCCTCCACCCCAAACTTGCTCACCCATGTCCTTATGGACCTTGCTTTGTGCACTGGTGCACAGTCATGTTGGAACAGGAAGGGGCCATCCCCAAACTGTTCCCACAATGTTGAGAGCATGTAATTGTCCAAAATGTCTTGGTATGCTGACGACTTAAGAGTTCCCTTCACTGGATCTAATGGGCCAAGCCTAACCCCTGAAAAGCAACCCCACACCATAATCCCCCCTCCACCAAACTGTACACTTGGCACAATGCAGTGAGGCAAGTATCATTCTCCTGGCAACCGCCAAACCCAGACACGTCCATCAGATTGCCAGAGAAGCGTGATTTCTCACTCTAGAGAACTCGTTTCCACTGCTCTAGAATCCAGTGGTGGTGTGCTTTACACCACTGCATCTGATGCTTTGCATTGCACTTGGTGATGTAAAGCTTGGATGCAGCTGCTCGGCCACGGAAATCCATTCCTTGACGCTCTCTAAGCACTGTTGTGCTAATCTGAAGGCCACACACAATTTGGAAGTCTTTAGCTATTGACTCTGCAGACAGGTGGCAACTTCTGCACACTGTGCGCTTCAGCATGCACTGACCTCACTCTGTCATTTTAAGTGGCCTACCACTTTGTGGCTGAGTTGCTGTTGTTCCCAGTTGCTTCCACTTTGTTATAATACCACTAACAGTTGACTGTGGAATATTTAGTAGCAAGGAAATTTCACGGATGGACTTATTGCACACGTGGCAACCTATCACGGCACCACGCTTGAATTCACAGAGCGCCTGAGATTGACCCATTCTTTCACAAATGTTTGTAGAAGCAGTCTGCATGCCTAGATGTTTGATTTTGTACACCTGTGGCTATGGGGGTGATTGGAACACCTGAATCCAATGCTTTGGAGGGGTGTCCCAATACTTTTGGCAATATAGTGTGTATACACACACATAAATTTTTATAAATATATTTTAAAAATATATATTTGCCCTCTCTTGATTTTCTCTGCTACTGCACATTTTTTGACAATGAGTAAATACACCTCAGTATTCTAAATACGTGGAACCCCCTAAAAGAAAGTAACACTTTCTCCTTAGAAAGTTAATCAATGATATAAGCCTTTCCTTCACCTAACTCACCCAAACCAACAAATTACTACCCAACCCCCTAACAAATATTATAAATCTCCCAAATCAGTAAAATAAATAAATACAATCAAATATAAATAAATGTCCAAATATATAAAAAAAAATATAAAAAAGTCCAAAACAAAAGTCCACTAAAACCATATACAGTCAGGTCCATAAATATTGGGACATCGACACAATTCTAACATTTTTGGCTCTATACACCACCACAATGGATTTGAAATGAAACGAGCAAGATGTGCTTTAACTGCAGACTGTCAGCTTTAATTTGAGGGTATTTACATTCAAATCAGGTGAACGGTGTAGGAATTACAACAGTTTGCATATGTGCCTCCCACTTATTAAGGGACCAAAAGTAATGGGACAATTGGCTTCTCAGCCGTTCCATGGCCAGGTGTGTTATTTCCTCATTATCCCAATTACAATGAGCACATAAAAGGTCCAGAGTTCATTTCAAGTGTGCTATTTGCATTTGGAATCTGTTGCTGTCAACTCTCAAGATGAGATCCAAAGAGCTGTCACTATCAGTGAAGCAAGCCATCATTAGGCTCAAAAAACAAAACAAACCCATCAGAGAGATAGCAAAAACATTAGGCGTGGCCAAAACAACTGTTTGGAACATTTTTAAAAAGAAGGAACGCACCGGTGAGCTCAGCAACACCAAAAGACCCGGAAGACCACGGAAAACAACTGTGCTGGAAGACCGAAGAATTCTTTCCCTGGTGAAGAAAACACCCTTCACAACAGTTGGCCAGATCAAGAACACTCTCCAGGAGGTAGGTGTATGTGTGTCAAAGTCAATAATCAAGAGAAGACTTCACCAGAATGAATACAGAAGGTTCACCACAAGATGTAAACCATTGGTGAGCCTCAAAAACAGGAAGGCCAGATTAGAGTTTGCCAAACGACATCTAAAAAAGCCTTCAAAGTTCTGGAACAACATCCTATGGACAGATGAGACCAAGATCAACTTGTACCAGAGTGATGGGAAGAGAGAGTATGGAGAAGGAAAGGAACTGCTCATGATCCTAAGCATACCACCTCATCAGTGAAGCATGGTGGGGGTAGTGTCATGGCGTGGGCATGTATGGCTGCCAATGGAACTGGTTCTCTTGTATTTATTGATGATGTGACTGCTGACAAAAGCAGCAGGATGAATTCTGAAGTGTTTCGGGCAATATTATCTGCTCATATTCAGCCAAATGCTTCAGAACTCATTGGACGCCGCTTCACAGTGCAGATGGACAATGACCCAAAGCATACTGCAAAAGCAACCAAAGAGTTTTTTAAGGGAAAGAAGTGGAATGTTATGCAATGGCCAAGTCAATCACCTGACCTGAATCCGATTGAGCATGCATTTCACTTGCTGAAGATGAAACTGAAGGGAAAATGCCCCAAGAACAAGCAGGAACTGAAGACAGTTGCAGTAGAGGCCTGGCATTTGATTTTTGATTATTATTCTGTCCCATTACTTTTGGTTCCTTAATAAGTGGGAGGCACATATGCAAACTGTTGTAATTCCTACACCGTTCACCTGATTTGGATGTAAATACCCTCAAATTAAAGCTGACAGTCTGCAGTTAAAGCACATCTTGTTCGTTTCATTTCAAATTCATTGTGGTGGTGTATAGGGCCAAAAATGTTAGAATTGTGTCGATGTCCCAATATTTATGGACCTGACTGTAAATCCAGTAGGTTGAATTCCAATTCCTATTTCAATCCTCGTGATACCTCAAAAAAAAGGAATACTAATATAGTGTATTACCTTCTAAATAATACATTAACAGTGTATAATTACAATCAATAAATGAGTGCACCAAAACAAAACCTATACAACTGTGAATATCATGTGCATCATGCGATCAGTGAAAATATATAAAATAAAAAAATATATATATCCAAAAATTATATAAATACAACGATCATCAACTACCTTAAATACATGAAACAAATATGATGTATAAGTGAAAACTCCAATTCTTTTTTGACACTGAATATTTTCAGAGCTTAAAACAAAAACTCATATCCTATAGTGTGTCCCCACACTTCAGGCATTGTTCAGGACATCATTGTATGGCCCTTTGTTTAGCTCCACACACAATGTAAATCATATTTTCTGTTTTCCATATGGCAGGATTTTTTTTCTGTCTCATACAGATTTCCAAGGGACTAATTTAGCTGAAGGTCTTGCTTGGTTTCGCAGCACAGTGAAAAATAAACACAGCTGCCATTCTGTTTGGCACCATAAACTATACTGTGGCCAATTATAGTGCCACTCACTTCCTTTTCTGTTCCCAACCTACACTGGTATTATATGCTTTGTAGTAGGTGGCTTTTACCTGCCTGAGGACCCATCTGCCTTTCTGATCTCCAGGGCTAAAGGGAAAATTAGATTTTGTTTAAGAAATGTTAAACTACATAAAGAGAACTGTCAGCTGCACCAAGCGACAGAGGAAACAGCTAAATATTGCACAGAACACAGTGGTCTGCTTGGGGAGTGTCATTTGCATATTGCTGATTACATATCCTCAGGGTGTGGTTGCTATATTTCTTTGCCTTGCTTACATTAATGGAGCTGATGAGATTCTCTCTTCCTGGAGGCTGTAGCTGGCTGTGCTGGAAATCAGCACCCGCAGTTGTCCAAATCACGAAATCTCCTTTCACTCTCCGCAGGGACTCGACTACCCTGACACTCTATTAGGGTCAGCAATAACCAGCTACACAGGCTGACTGTGAACACACTTGCTGCAAATTATGTACAAAGTGAAAACGGGAAGGCTAAAATTAGAATATACACAGGAGAGAGCATTTTATAGTTGATTAAAGTCAATATAAAAGTCACGCTAGCGGCAGCAATGCTTTTTATCTGTGTTTTGCACATATAGTTATCTATCTTCTCTGTCAGTAATTATTTTCTACTCAAAAAAAATCTAACCAAAGATTTATGTAATAAAAAGATAAGACAGGTAATGAAAGTGTATGAAGTCAATACAAAAGCCTCCAGTCTAGCAGGATCTCCGTTTGGTATTTTTATTATGCTTTACAGCTGTATCAGTTCTGCATGTTACAAATGACTGCAGTTGTACTATCTGCAAATAAAGGGAGTTTATGGGTGGAGCTAGGGTAGTGGTGGTGGTGGTAGAGGAGGAAGGTCACTGTTGCATTTTACTGCATTATGTGTAATGGCTGGTGTCCAGAGCCCAAATAAGCAGGAGTTTATGTGAAACAGTCCTAATATCCTGTCCTAAAGTGACAACATTATATATTACTTTCAAAAGGTGCATCATCAAAAACCAAAGCAGACATAGGACAAAATGTCCCCCCAGAAAAAAAAAACAGTGCATAACCTATTTTAGCTAGTTGCAAATTTTTATTGTTACTTTTATTATTAATACATGTATACAGGGGTGGACTGACAACTCATGGTGCCCCCCGGGCAATAGGGGATCATGGGGCCCCTGTGTCCTTGCCCAAACTCAAAAAAGCCTAGGAAAAAGGTACCAGGGGCATCTCATGGGCCCCCCTACTGACCCCGGGCCCTCGGGCAGTGCCCGAGTTTCCAAATGGTCAGTCCGTCCCTGTATGTATATATACAGTATATATATATATATATATATATATATATATATATATATATATATAATATAGCTCCAAGGGTAGCCACAACACTCTATGTCTGAAGTAAATGCCAAGGTGCTCACCCACAAAGAAATCTATAACTAGTTTAGAGGCACTCACAGAGCACATGAGGCTCAGTCCTATTATTCTCAAAAACCAATCTTGAGAAAGCTGGACTGAGCTTCACTGAAATGTTTAAATAAAAACACTGCTGTTTTTGATCTTCGTCCTCTGCAAGACCCATGAGTGACTCTAATATATATATATATATATATATATATATATATACAGTAGATATACAGTATATGCTAAATTACCACAAAGGGTGGACAATCTTGTAATGTGTAATAAGAGTAGGAGTTTAATCATTTACACTTGATGCATAATTGGCCATTATTAGCTTTCACTTACTTTTTACTTACTACACATATTTTTACTTCCCGTATTCATTTGTGATTTCTGTGTGTTCCCTGAAAGTTTTCTTTAAAGGGAAATGATAATTTTTTATGTATTTCATTTTCAAATTTTTTAAAGTTTTCTAACCTATATATTAATAAGCCTTAAAGTTCTAAAGGCTGAAGGTTTTTACCTGCTTGCAGTATATGCATACAGGTAAAAAAAACCTTTAGCATACAGGCCCCCCCCCCCCGCTCACCTGGGCCCGATCCAGCGATGTGCACAAAAGCATCGGCTCTCCTGAGTATCTCCCTCTTAATTGGCTCAGACACAGCAGATGGAGCCAATGGTTCCAGCTGCTGTCAGTCACAGCCAGTGAGCAGAGAGCGGGGGGCGGATACTTATGGACACAAACAGCTTGACTCAGGAATGAGCTTGCTATAGTAGCACTTGGCAGGAGGAGGGACCAGGAGCACCAGCAGGGATCCGAGGAGAGGAGGATTGGGGCTGTTCTGTGCAAAACCATTGCACAGAGCAGGTAAGTATAACATGTTGGTTGTTTTTTTTCCCTAATTGTACCCTACAATCACTTTCATTTTATAGTAAACAATTATTGTGGGCTGGAGACAACGAGATAACAATGCATATCATGCTGGGCTTTCTAGTAAGAAAGC